AGGAGCTTCGGCTCCCCAGGGCCTCACCACCTACAGAGCCTCACCACCTTTGTATGCATTATCTCTTTATCTTATTATGTATTAATAAAAATGTATATAGGACGCGACGTCATACACACACACACACACACACACACTCCTACAAACGGGGCACACACTAGCCTAATAAGCTAACAGTTGGGGTCGCGATATTCAAATTCAGGAGCACGGAATATTCGAGAGAGTGCTCTGCCGCTGTTTCGTTTATTTTCCGCTTCTGAATTTGAGTTCAGCCACATACTTCATGAAATGCTGAATTTTGTTTTAAAATCTCTCTGAGCCCCGTCGGTGTGATGATCGACGTATGCACATGTGGTTGAGACGGCGGCTGGATTTGGTAACAGGTTGCCCGAGGCTAAAAAAAAGTGTGACATGACTGTATTTAATGATAACATCAAAGATGCACATCGATATATCGTTGGTTTTGGTGATTTTTAAAGACATTTACAATTTTTTTGCACGATTTTTTGTTCATTAATTCTGGGGAAAAATCGTGTTTATTATTGCTTATTTCCCGTTGCTGAAAAAACGCAAACCATATTTACGTTTTATAAATGAGCTTCTCTACATTTTAAATGAACTAATACAATTTTGTTAATTTTTTCTAATTCATATTTTGTATTTGCTAATTGCTAATTTGCTAATTCAATTCATATTCATGTTTCGTATTTTAATTCATGTTTTTCTAATTTTGCTAATTCATATAAGGGACAAAATCAACAAAACAATTTAGTCCTGGTATTTTTTTTACAATTATCGATATTTTTTACGGCTAAAATATCAGTTCTACCTCGCGTACCAGGATTCTTTCGGTATCAAGATTCTGATGTTACTGGTCCTGAGAAATAGTCGGAGAAAACAGGAAACGACAGTCCGGGGATTCCGGTTGGGCTATGACAGCAGATATTGACCAGGACTAAAAATGCAGCGTTTTGGGGTGCGCAAAACGAGGAATGCTCTAACACAGTAGGCGAAAACCCTCCAGGCCTTTCGGTCCTGAACTGCATACCTTCAGATAATGTGTCACCACCTTCTGTTAACAGTGCTATGATTAATCCTGCGAAATGATTATCAGCGCCGTTCTTTTTTAAGAAATTCATAAAATCCTCCTCTTGCCTTGTCGTATTTGGATCTCAATTCTTTTTTCTTTCAGCCTCACTGTTGGAAAAAATCCTGTTTACTTCGCTGATTACATTTATTGTTGGATTTTTCATTCTTTCTTTCTAATTTTTTTCTCTTTTCATTCTAAACTGATCCATTTTTTTTGCAGGGTGCAGCAATGAATGTTGATTTTCAAACACGAAGTGCACTAAGCCGAAAATTGGCCATTCAAGCAGCGAAGAAAAGTTAGTTTATTTATCGTTTTTTGTTGCATTGGCAACGAGAAAAACAAGTCCCATGTTTTCAGTGAAAAATCCGATTACCATTGAAATTTCTGTCTGCAAATTTTCAAAAAATTGTGTCAAAAGGGGTTGTATTTTGTCTTCATTGTTATTATTTTGTTGCAAAAGCGTAAAATAACTGTTCTAATTGTTTTAATAGTCATTGTTATTCTCTACTAATACGGCAATTTCATCAAAATAATCTTTGTTTCGAGAAATTAAAATAAAATCGGACACGGCATAACGAGTGGTACCCTCGAGAAAGTAAACGACCACTTGAGCAACCTTAAAAGTGCTGGCGCACATAGATCGAACAGACGATGGTTACTAACTGAAGGTATGCAAGCTCAAGATTGTAAGATTTGACATTGCTGCGCTTGACGAGTGATAGCACCCCAACAATGAGATCCCCTCGCCGATTTTTTGGAAATTATTGGTATTAGTAACCATTTTCTGTTAGCACTGGAAATTAAAGTTTTGAGAATAAGTAGTGGTAGAATCTTGTAATGTAAAATGATAATGAAATTTTTACCAGAAACCTTGTAATGTAAAATGACAATGAAATTTTTACCAAAATTTTTGAAACTTTATTTTTTGAAAATCTTTTATCACAATTCTGAAATTTTAAACTTTCGTTTTTTAAAAATTATGCTTTTTTTCGGAGTTGAGTCGCAGCAAATAATATATTACTTTTCTTGTTATTCAAAAAAAAAAAAACAGCTCACAGCTGCATACGGCCGATTTTGCATCTTGCACAGCGAGGTAAAAGAAGGGTGTGTGAACATCTTGCAAATCCGATTCACCAGCATCACATCCTCGCCTCAGTTCTTTTGATAGAATTGGCCTTACTGCCAAAACTGATGCCCTACCCGGTGCCTTCTTCCTATTTTCCCGAAATATTTGTTTATTTATGGACTTTCTGGTTCGTCGATTTTTCTCGGAGGGCTTCTTTCTGTATGTCTCATCTGGACAAAATTTTGCCTTATGTTAGCTAAATTCGCTCTTTTTGACTGTTTTGATGTTCCTGCGGGGTTTGTAAAAAGGGTGATGGAACTATTACGTGTATCGTGGTTTCTTGGAAAAATCGGGGCTGCACATTCGGGAATCTGCACGATCGTGGTGATGGTAATTGTAGCTAACAATTTGTAGCTAACTCGTGGATAATTTTGGGTTTTTAAATATTTATTAACAGATAATTGCTGTTTCTCATGGAAGAGTTACAATTTGCGGTGGACTAATTTTTGTGTTTTCACACTGGAGATCTGTAAAGGCAAAGCTCAGATTCATACAGTTATCATTCAAGTTTTGTGAGTCAGATAGTATCAAGTAGAACTCAAAATGCCTGGAGCATCTGCTATGCTCCTGACAACTTTTTCATTTGCTTTGACCAATACTCCACCTTCGCTTGGTGGTCAGCCTGCTGATGATCTTGACGTTCGTTTCGTCTCCCAAGAGAATTACTAGGTTCAGTTGTTCTCCCGATAAAAGCAGCTGAAAAACTTTAGCCGTTTTGAATATTAGAAGGCAAGCATAGAAATCACAATTTATATAGTGAATAATTTCGTTTCATTGCTTTCATGAATACAGCTAAGGGATGAGACACAGACTGCTTCTTCACATGTCCATTCTTCTTGATCTGTTTGAGGAGCAACAGCTCGCGTTGGACGCTAATACTCCTAAACTACAATGATGTTTTTCACTGATTAGGAGTGCTCGAAAAAGATGAAATTTTGCTTGCTCAGTTAAGTGACTACAACGAGCAAGTTGTCACCTGTAGCAGTTATAGGGTCGAACCGTAGTTTTGAAAAATCAAAACTGAACGGGATTTTGTTCGGGCAATTTAATGACCATGACGAGGAAATTTTACTCGAACATTTGGGTGGCCGTAGCTGAAAAACTTTGTTGTGACAGTTAAAATTAAAGTAACGGAGGAAGGAACGCTTTTTTGAGGAACAAACGCAGTATGCACGTTTTGAAAAGCATTTTTTGTCTTTCAGGCGCTCTTATCAGTTATCACACAGCCCTTTATCAAACACTGTCCTTATGCATTTTGTGTTTTATGACGTGCTGGCCAACTGTTTTCCCCATTTCGACATAAATGAATGTCACCGGAAGTTAGGGGCGTTGTCATCAAGATTTCAAAATTGCTCCAAATCGCACTGAGATTTCCGCGGTTGGCCGATGAAGAGGTAACTTAAGTATGCAGCAGTGTGCATAGAAACTAGCGATACACTTCAGGGAATAAACTTGTATGTCACAAATTAACGGTTAGTGTGTATGTATGTGTGTGTGTTTGTGTGTGGGAGTGTGTGCGTGGGAGTGCGTGTGGGAGTGTGTGTGTGTTTGGGAGTGTGTGTGTGTGGGAGTGTGTGTATGGGAATGTGTGTGTGTGGGAGTGTGCCCGTGGAGGCGTGTTTGTGTGTGTATGTGTGTCTGTGGAAATGTGTGTTGTGGGGGCGTGTGTGCATGGGAGTGTGTGGGAGTCTGCGTGAGGGTGTGTGGAAGTGTGTATGTGTTGGAGTGCATGTGTGTGGGAGTGTGTGTGTGGGAGCGTGTGTGTGTGTGTATGTGGGGGGTGGGGCAGGGGGGAGGGTCTGCGTGGGAATGCGTGAGGGCATGTGTGGGAGTGTACGTGTGTGGGAATGAGTGTGTAGAAGCGTATGTGGGGTTTGCGTGGGAGTGCGTGTGCGTGGGAGTGTGTCTCTGCGGCAGTGTTTGTGTATGTGTATGGGAGTGTATGCGTGTGCGCATATCAGTTCAGTGCGTGCTCCTCACTGATATTCTGGGCGGCCCTGATAGTTCCTAGATTTGTAAATTAGATCTTAAGGCTACTGCAAAAACTGAGTCAGATTTAGTTTAGTGAAGTTTCATTCTAGTCTTTCAGTTCCGTGTGAAAAGTTTTTGCTGTTTCCACGACAAGGGATTGTTTTCCTAGAAAATCTTTAGCCTACTTTTGACAATTTTTTCTATTTTTTTTTTTTTTCTTGGGCTACATTATGAGCAGGAGGATTTTTTTTTTTTTTTTGATAGGAATTGAACCTGTAGAAGATTCTGTTAAGGAGGAGAAGGTGGAGGAGGTACAAAACGTTAAGACGAGGGAGAAAAGCAATTGAGGAGAGGCGCGAAAAAGCAGAAGCAAGATGAGTGACGTATTCGTTTCTGTCAGTTTTCTGAAGCAACACACTGACGTAATTCGTCTGATGTTTTCATTAGTAATTAACTTTCGGATGGTTCAATAATTGATATTGTAATATGAGTGCTTCATCTATATTAGAGGGCCCTGTGAGTGTATTTTAGCGAAGTGTCTGATACTTGAACATTTTTGCCGGTTTTTTCCAAATTTGTTACGCTACTTGAACATTTTTGCCGGTTTTT